TTCTTCTTACTGACCAAGCCTTCTATGTTAAGCCTATGCGAAGCACTTTCTGTATATTATTTTATTTCATCTTCCAAACAAGCCTATTGAATGGGTATTTTTATTCCCATTTATAGGCTCTACTGCCAGTTAATGGTAGAGCTGGGGCATGAATCTGTGCAGATAACTACCACCTCTTCTGCCTCTTCTCCAGGCTCCCTGACACCACACCAGGCTCCCATTGGCCACCACAGTGGCCTTTGTAACCCTCTACTGCTCAGCAACCTTGAGTGATTCCCCACTGCCTGCAGCTCAGCCTGGCATTGGTGGCCCATCAGTCTACACCCGGCATACCTTTCCTGCTCTTCTAACACACTTTACACTCTAGCCAGGGCTTCCCCATCACCCACATGCTGCGAGCGTGAGTTATTCTTGCTATTCATCTATCCTCATTTACTGTTTACTTAATATTGTTTATTATTTACTTCACACTCATCTTTTGGTCAATTAATTTTCAACTTAAATACATTTATTTGTATCTATGATCACATTGTATGTTAATTTGGATTATTTCCTAACACTCATCAAGATGAAAAGCTGTAAAATAAAAATGTTCATCTAAGTGCCATCTAAAGCCTCTCCTTCAAGGTAGTACGCTAAGTGCAATAAGTCAGACAGAGAAAGACAAATACCATATGACTCCACTTAAGAACAAACAAAATAATTCTTCACTAAAGAACAAAATAAATGAACAATAGGTTCATAGATACAGAGAACAAACTGATGGCTTCCAGATGGGAAGGAGGTTGGGAGGCTAGGTGATCAATAATCAATAATATTGTAATAACTATGTATGGTACCAGGTGGGTACTGGAATATGAGGGGGAACACTTTGTAAAGTATATGATTATCTGACCACTATGCTATACACCTGAAACTAATCTACACTAATAAAAGACAAACATGAAAATTGACCATACCTTCACCATGCCTTAAGCCATGCCCACCAGCCAATCAGAGCAACTATATGCAAATTAACCCAACCAAGGTGGCGGCCAGCAGCCACGGAGCTGGAGCAAGCAGAGGCTTGGGTGCCGCAGGGA